CAACTGTTTGAGATAACAAAACTAGTACAGATTAAAAATAGCCAACACATAAACTAGAGGAAGATAGGGAAGGAGAAGGCGGAACTGTGGTCGCCAAGCAGCTACCTTGCAATCTCCAAGTGAAAGTCCGCACAATATAATCAGTTGCCGCTACCGTGACCCGAGACACCTGGATCTGTACACAAGGTGCAGGGGGTAACGTGAGTACACCAACTCAGTAAGTAACAAGTCCAACCTATGGACTGACTGGTAGTGACGGACCAAACCTCAATAGGTAATAACATATAACTAAACAGGAAAAGTAGACATGCTTACGGTTCAAGAAAAATTCAATAGTATTTAAATGCAACTGTACAGTACGAAGTTCAAAACTCAGAGATTTTACATATATCAATGCACAACTAGCATGATCAATGTTCCATGAACCTCCACTCACAAGTACTCAATCCTTCGGTACTGTACATGGCCATCCGACCCAGGGAAGATCCATCCCGGAATATACATCACTGACCACAGTCATGCAGTACCGAGGACACAGGCCAATCCAGCTTCACGGAGAAGATCTATCTCCTGGTATAATACTTCGGACAAGATCAATGTCCAGGGAAGATCCATCCCTCAATATCATCATCTGCGCTCACTGGGGGTGTAAAGACTCCGGCGGGGCTTCTCTCATTAGCCCAAGCACTATAACAAAGCCAACGAAGGCTTGTTCAGTGTCTCGTTGCGGTGTGCAGCCCAATCTCATACCGTTACTTAATAGCAGGCACTCGGCCTCACTCAGTCATAACTCATCAGTCTCACATGCGGGCTCTAAATGTCATGATACTAGCCCGGTCAACAATAAATTGTGGCAATTAGTAATAACCGAGACTGGGACAGGATATAATATGCATGAAAAGGACTGAGTACATAATATCCATAAAATAAATGATATGACAGCAAGAAACGACCTCTTGGGTCTCAATAATATCGGCGTGAATCCTTAACATGAAAATCAACATGATTTACAACTCAACGACTAAATCACATAATTACAGCACAGATATCGGTAATAAAGAACCACTAAGCGGTGTTCTAGAATGATCCAGGCCGCGTTTCTCAGGGTGCACGCCCATACGCCCGTCACTTGGCATGGCGTCACCTTCATAATAATCATGAAACACATAGTTCGGGATTTCGAACCCGCAGAACCAAGATTGGAAGCGTTACTTACCTCAAGCCAAGCCAAACTCTAGCTCGCGACGCCCTTTCCTCTCGATTCGGCCTCCAAATGCCTCGAATCTAACCAAAATCAGTTTATAACCATCAATATACGCTAAAGGAGTGAAACCCATACGAAATTAACCAAATTACAACACAAAATCCGAAATTGACCAAACCCGACCCCCGGGCCCACGTCTCGGAATCCGACAAAATTAACATCAATGGAATCCTTATCCCACCATGAGTTCATGAATATCAAATTTACCAAAATCCGACCACAAATGACCCCTCAAATTCCTAATTCTTGGTCTCCAATTATCCAAGCCCTAACCCCCAATCTACCACTAATTTTCATTTAAATTTCATGCTTACAATGATAAAAATCACCCTAATAACGAGTTTAGGGGTCAAGGACCTTACCTCAATGAATCCCTCTGAAAATCTCCCTTGAAAATTTTCTCCAAAGCTTTCTCCCGAATGAAATATGGTGAAAAACCACTCAAAATCGCAAAGGGTCAAATATATATGTTCTGCCCCAGCAAAACCGCACCTGCGGTCAAATGGTCGCACCTGCGGACCCGCACCTGCGAAAGTGACTTAAAATCCTCAGGACCGCACCTGCGGTCACTCTCTCGCACCTGCGCCATCGCAGGTGCGCCCAGATATGCGCTTCTGCGGCTCCGCCTGACCTCCCTCTTGGCCGCATCTGCGGCTTGCCTTCCGCTTCTGCGGGCATCGCACCTACGGCTCCCAACCGCAGGTGCGGTTATGACAGCAACAATAAACTTCAGCTACCAAGCTCAACTCCAAAATCTCCCGTCAACCATCCAAAATCACCCCGAGGCCCCCGGGACCTCAACCTAAAGCATGAGCAAGTCATATACCACCTTCCAAACTTGTACCAATCATCAAAACACCTAAAACAACATCGAAACATCAATTTAGCCACGGATTCAAGCCTAAGAACTCTAAAAACTTCCGCATTCCGCTTTTGATCAAAAAGCCTATCACACCACGTCCGAATGACCTGAAATTTTGTACACACATACCAAATGACACAACTGACCTACCGCAACTCCCGAAATTCCATTGCGACCCCTAAATCAAAATCTCGCATATTAACCGGAAAACGCCAAAATTCCAACTTCGCCAATTCAAGCCTAAATCTACTCCGGACCTCAAAAACACATCCCGACCACGCTCCTAAGTCCTAAATCACCTCCCAAAGCTGTCCAAATCATGAAACCCAAATTCCGGGATCGTTTGCTCACAAGTCAACTTCCGGTTGACTTTTTCCAACTAAAGGCCAACTTAAGAGACTAAGTGTCTCAAACCTTCCCCAAAATCATTCCGGATTCGAAACGACTAACCCGATACCATATAACACAGATGAACAAAGATTAAAGAAGCAGAAATAGGGAAGACGGAGTGGTAACTCATGAAACGACCGGCCGGGTCGTTGCAGATTATCACAAAAGCTGGTAAAAGATATGACTTATTGCCGCTAAATATCATTTGTTTTAACGGCAATTGTTTGCGACAATTATGATGGCTGCTAAATCCAATCTAAAATGGCTACTAATGATCTTTTAGTGTCTATTTTTATAGCCGCTAAATTTAAAAAGATTGTCGGTAAAAGTGGATACCTTTAGCGGTAATTGTTTTGTGGCAATTAAAATGGCTATAATATCCCTTCTGAAAAACGTATTAGTATTCCCTTTTAGCATCCATTTTAATGGTTAGTAAATTTAATTTAATTGACGCTAAAAGTCATCTTTAACAGCAATTATAATGGCTACAATATCCTCCTCTATGGAAATATCATAATTTACCCTTTTATCGTCCATTTTTTTAATAGGTAAATCATGCTAAACGGTCACTATCTATAATAGCAATTGTTTACCCATCATTAATAATGCTACATTCGTTCAAAAAATAACCCAAATAACAAAATACATTAATATTAATTAATAAAAACATAATGTATCTCATTAAATCTTAACAAATAAAAGAAGTACTAATCCAAAATATTAATATCACTATAACTTAAAAATAAATTTATATTGTTTGAAGTAAATAGCTAATATCGTTATATGACTTATCCTAACGAATAATAGTCTTCAAATAATTTCTGTAACTCTTCATCATATTGAAATCTTCGACCTGCTAAATTATCGATCATCAGGCTGTATGACCTGAAATTATAAAGTAGTTATGTCAATAGATGAATACATGAGCACTATGCATGTACGCATAAGCAAGCAAATCTTCTTTTTCTACTAGCCATCACTAAATATAAGAGGAATGAAAGACAGAGATAATCACACTAATGTAGATAGCAAAAACATATAAAGTTTATGCAAGATTTGGAGGGATTTCACTTAACAAGTTATAGTTCTGTACAAAATATTTTGCTCATCTGAAGAGCTCCATTTACTCCCAATCAGATGAACTGCCAATAGAAGTATGATGCTTATATTTCCTTCTACTTCCTAATAATTGTATATGGATTTACCCTTATATACCAACTGTGCACTTTCAGTGAACAATTAGATTTTCACTTCCAAATGTGTGCATATATACCAATTGTATATGGATTTAACAAATGTGTGCGTACATACTAACTATGCACACGGCGATCAAAATCATTTCAAAGTTGGATGGAAGAGATTATTGTAAGGGATAATAATCGATTCAACTGCTTCAGTAAAGGGTTGTGTTCTTGTAAAGACTATTGGTAGTCATGTCGTTTTGTGTACCAAACTACAATATCTGATGCTTGGCTCGCAGATAAGCATATTTACTAGTTACAGAAAAATAGCTAGGCCAGTTTGGCTAATGCCACTTGCTGGATCTTTACAGCATTCTCGGAATCAAGGCCTTAAGATGGCTGATGACAGCTCTATTTGCCTGGTTACTTTGTTCTACCAGCAATATTTATATTGTGGATAGAAGTATTAGATTTACCATATGGGAAGCTTGTTCTTTTGACCCATATCCATATTAACAACTTGCACAAATCTTCTCCACTCCTATTATTATCCTATTTTTTATTTTCCACTTGTGGATTTTGCTACAAAATGGACCAAACTGAATGGCAGCCATACTATCTATATGGAACCAGATTCTAGTGATAACTATGCGAGTAATGGAGCAGCAACAATGAGAACAACAACCAGTAGCAAAAAGCAGTTAAGGCAAAAGCATTTGGGTATATCGAACCAGATTCTAATGATAAAATAAATTGGAGGAGGAAAATGCAAACAGTAAAAAACTCAAATAATGGCGCGCTAAAGTATAAAGATGAGTAGTGCCGTGAGAAAGTGAAGTATTTTCGGCAACACTAAGTATTCTTGAAGTTTATGATACTCGTTCATGGTCGCTGTTGGCATTAGGGACCTGATAAATATTAACACATTAGATAACAATACTTTTATATAGTTAAAATTTTATTAAGAAAGATTTTTCTCCCAAACAGATACAATTAATGATTTATGTGAGGCAGAAGATGGGGAACACAACTTTAGGTTTACCCATGCATCCATCTGCCACAAGAAAAACCCACAGGAAGTTTGGTGCAGAAAATGAATCACTTAAATGGAGGATTCTCATTTCCCTCTCCTAGAGATGGACTGTTAGTTCAAACAAGCTCAAGTAAATCATTATGGTCAACCAAGTGGAACACTGTTTTAAGTGATTCTCTGATGACTCTCTGATGGCAAATGTAGGGACATCATGTAGGATGAGGAAGCTACTGCAGTTCAAGAGTAAGTGAGGCAGATCAAGGCACATGAGGAGGAATTTGAAATGGTTTTAATACTTTCCTATGCAATATGATAGTTTTATATCTATAAACTTAGGCTATAGACTGTTAACTGTAATACATTTAAAATAAGCACTGTGTCGCAAAATTGAAGTTCTACCAAGTAAATATTTTTATAATAGAAGAAGAAAAAGAACATCATATGTTGCTATTAAGATGTAGCTTATATGCTCTGAAGATGTGCCTACTAAAATAGCTTAAATCACAATTGCATAGTCCACTCTAATTGCAGCTCGAGCAAACTAGTGACTACGATTGGAAGGAAGAGAGCCACGAACCACATGCTTGCAAATTTGTTAAGCTGCAAAAAAATGTGATTAGAATTAGAAAATGATAATTAATTTTCATCAATATTATACCAAATGACTTCAGTTCATTTACTGTTGGAGCAACAATTTTTTTAGTAAGAAGGCATACAGCTGGAATGGATAACAGAGTAAACCCTTGACAGTTTTCTTCTTGGACTTGTACATTTTTTTTCCTGAAAAAAGGTAAGTGCTCTTGAACTTAGACTTTCTTGAATCACCACAACTGCAACAACATCACCTAGGCCAGCAATCACATATGGATCATAGCCATATAATGCACAACCGGTTCTAACATAAATTGGCCCTAAATAACATCCAAGCCTTTCATGTTAATATGTAAAAAAAGGGCAACACGGTGCACTAAGCTCTCGCTATGCGCGGGGTCCGGGGAAGGGCCGGATCATAAGGGTCTATTGTACGCAATCTTACCCTGCATTTTTGCTAGAGGTTGTTTCCACGGCTCGAACTTGTGACCTCCTGATCACATGACGCAACTTTACCAATTACTCCAAGACTCCCCTTAATATGTAACCATGAAGAAATATAAGATATTGAATCAGACGACAATGTTGGAATAAATTCTTTCCAAACAACCATACAGCAGAATACCCACAAGTCAAGTATTTGCAATCAAGGAAAATGTTCAAAAGATAGATCATTCAGTTATCTCTACCATTTTCATCACAACAGGTTAAAGTATAAAATTTTGTAGTGCAGCAGTCCCATCGAGATATTCATATTTTATCTACATTTCATTGGTTCAAGAACTGCAGTCTTAAAGAAATAAATACGAAATAATAAGAACATCCTTAAAGAAATAAGAAGAGCACTCTCTGCCACATTGGAGTGAGATATTCATACTTTATACTACTATTTATTGGTTCAAGTCCATTTTATATCTTACAACACACCTTAGCCAGAGAGGAGATAATTTTTCCGAGATTGTTCTTAATACAAATGCTATGGAATAAGTCAACATGAAAATTGTAGGGATTATTGAGAGAAATCTCTTGGAGAAAGTAAACAAATGGAGACAACTAGAATGACCACATAAAACAATGAACAAAATCAAGAACAAACACAACTACAACTTTATAATTATACTTCTAATCTCCCTTTCTTAAACTTTCAGAGCCTCACAGTTGCTTTCAAGAATAAAGGAGGTCAAGAATCTAGTAGCAAGGGTTCTGAATCCTAAAAAGGAATCTTATTGCTCTTAACAATCATACAAACATTTTTACGGTAATGGTTCGTTATTCAACTTCATAACTAGCAATTTATAAATTAATTACACTAAATAATAAATTTCAAAAAAAATAAGAAAATCACAGATATTATATTGAATAAGTTCACAAATGACCTCGGTGATACTCGTGACCTGATTTAATTGGTTTCACCACAAAAAATTGAATTTGAAGACAACACACAAAAATACACATCTAAGAATCAGACATTGAGATTCTAAGAACAAAGTGATGCTAAGTAGATTTTTTATCCAATTGAGAAATCAGGAAAGAAAAATCCAAATTCATCAAAATCTTCATTTATATATTAATGCCAAATAAAAGTTCAGTATTGTCCATAGACAAAAGAAATTGGTTACTGACCTGAAAATATCTTAATGGAGTGAAGAAGATAGTTGTTGTTCTTCTATGTGATTTTCAAGCCTTAGCATTTCGCCAGCTCTCAGAGAGAGAGAGAGAGAGAGAGAGAGAGAGAGAGAGACGAGGGAGATGAAGCAAGGTAGAGAGTGAATTTTGGGCGAATGTAGAAGGTGAGCCTAAAAATTGAAATTAGGTTTCAAAATAAAGAGGGAACGTGGGGAAACTTTGGGGGGAAGATGAAAAATTTAATAAAATGTGGCTTCCAGGCATAACTTTTACTGGCCATTCGTTTCAGTTGCTAGTAAAAGAGGACCCATCGCTGGCTATTACTAATTTGCCAGTAAATTATGCGCTTAAAATAATAAATTAACGGCAATTAGTCTATTGCCACTAAATATTAGTCGGTAAAAGCAATTTTTATGGTAGTGGGGTGTGTTACAAATTCCGGAGGGATTCCTACAGCGCAAGCGCTATCACAAATTAATATAACCGCTGCGGCCTGCAGTCCGATCCCATAACTGTCACTCATAATCAGGTTCTCGGCCTCACTCAGTTATCAATCTCTCCATGAAAACTAACCCGGAACAATGATATAATGTATCAATAAATAACTGAGACTAAGATATGATATAAAAATGCATGAACATGACTGAGTACAGAATATCAATGAAAATAGTGAGATGACAGCAAGAAACGACCACTAAGGGTCCCAACAACACTGGCATAAAGCCTAAACATGATATCTAGCATGATTTACAGCTCAATTACTTTATCACGTGGTGTAAACACGAATATCAACAAGATAGAGTCACTATGCGGTGCCATGGAATCGACCAGGTAACAATTCTCACGGTGCATGCCCGCACGCCCGTCACTTGGCATGTGTATCACCTACCAATCGTATAACATATTATTTGGGGTTTCGAACCCTCAGAACCAAGTTTGAAAGCGTTATTTACCTCAAACCAAGCAAAATCCTGCTCCGCAATGCCTTTGCTTCTCAAATCGGTCTCCAAACGTCCTAAATCTAGCCACAAGTAGTACAACACAATCAATAAACGATAAAGGAATTAATTCCACAAGAAAACTACTAAATTAGAGCCAAAATCCAAAATCGACTCAAACCTGGCCCCCGGGCCCACGTCTCGAAATCCGACAAAAGTCACAAAACCCGAAAGCCAATTCACTTACGAGTCTAACCATACTAAATTCATCAAAATCCGACATCATTTGCCCCTCCAAATCCCCAAAATTCACTCTCCAATTCTCAAGTCCTAATCACCCACATTTCACCTCAAAAAGTCACCAATTAGGTGTAAAATCAGTGGGGAAACACGATTATTGAAGACAAATAGGCACAAGGAATTTAACTCAGTGATTGCTTCGAAATCCCTCTCAAAATCCCCAAAATCTAAGCTCAAAAATGATGAGAATGGTGAAAAATCTCGAAGTCTTCTATTTATAGGTTCTGCCCAGCAAAGCCGCACATGCGGGACTCTTGTCGCTTCTGCGACGCCGCACCTGTGGGAATTCCATTGCAAGTGCAGATATCACTTAGAATCCCAGGCTCCATTCATGCGGCTTCAAGACCGCATCTGCGCCTATCGCAGGTGCGGGAATACATCGCACCTGCGCTCAGCTTTTCGCTTCTGCGACCCTCACAGATGTGGGAAACTCTCCGCACCTGTGGCTCCTTCTTTTCTTCTACGGACTCGCACCTGCGGTTCCCACTCCGCAGGTGCGATTACACCAGCAACAGCAGCACTTCAGCTACTCATTCAATTCCAAAACCAAGTCCGAAACCTCCCGAGTTCCACCTGAGGCCCCCAGAACCTTAACCAAACATGAAAACAAGCCATATAATCCCATGCGAACTTAGTCGAACCTGGGAATCACTCAAAACAACATCAAAACACCAAATTACACCCGGATTCAAGCCTAAGGAACTTCTAAACTTCCGAATTCCACAAACGACTACCAAGCCACATCCGATTGACCTCAAATTTTTAACACACATCATAAATGACACCACGGACCTACTCCAATTCCCAGAATTCCAATCCGATCCCTGTATCAAAATTTCCACTACCGCCCAAAATCGCCAAAATTCTAACTTTCGCCAATTCAAGCCTAATTCTGCTAGGGACCTCCAAATCACATTCCAGACGCGCTCTTAAGTCTAAAATCACCTAACGGAGCTAACGGAACTATCAAAATTCAAATCCGAGGTCGTTTACACATAAGTCAACCTCCAGTCAACTTTTCCAACTTAAACTTTCACTTAAGAGACTAAGTGTCTCAATTCACTCCAAAACCACTCCGGATCCGAACCATCTACCCGGTATATCATAATAGAACACAAAAAAAGTAGGAAATGGGGGAACGGGGCTATAACTCTTGATGTCCGGCATTTTGAACCTCTTCGGAATCAACTCCGACACTGCGTTTTATTTGAATGGCAATTGAGTGTAATTTTTTTGAATTTGGACCTTTCAAAACTGGTGGTGCGCCCAGAATCTGATCCATTCGGGCATGAAATTCCTTCGCGTTTTGATCCATCCATTCGTTCATTTCCCTCATAAATCTTATAAGCTCAGTTTTGAAGGGTCATTCCCGTTATCGTCACCAGATCCGCTACCTGTCCCCCCCGACCCGTTGAAACCGACTTCACCCTTGGGGTGTTGTTATCAACTCTTTAAGCTGTTTGATTTGCAGGAACAACGGGAAGAACGACCCCTTCCGTTTGCGTTGTTGGAAGCACCTAACAAAGCTTGTTTCAACTTCCGTCATCACCCAATCCTGCCTTGAGAGGTGGCCCATGATGGCTTTCTGTTGCTCTCTGAGGCTTCTTACTGTTTCCGCAAAATTTCCTCCTCTGCGTCATCGAGGGTCGGCTCTTATACATGCTGGGGGTATTTCCCTTCACAAAGCGGGGTTGCCTCATCCCCTTCATTGTGGGTGTCACTGATTGAATCTTTATGTTGAGGCTAATTCTCGTGTCCCTTAACGTTGTGCGTGATGTTGATATCGTTAGCTCCCATTCTCGATTTCTTGATAAGGAAAAAAGTCAAATAAGTTAGTAACAAACGTAAGGATCAAAGCAATTACACAACTGTCTAAGCCCCACGGTGGGCGTCAAACTGTTTACCCGTAAAATGGTACATTTAAATTTGGTAAGTGGTTTATCGACAAGCGAACTGATTTGATCCAAAACTGATAAATAAATAGGATTAAAAGTAAGACTTAGCGATTAAAATTGAAGAAGATGACTAGTCTGGCTCCGAGAACAACGTCTCTAAGGACAGAAATGAGAACAATATGAAAGAGAAAATAATGTTATTTAATTGAGAGCGAAAATGGAATACAGCATATGTTTTGCCAAGAATTTCGTGCTTACAATTGCTGCTAATCCTGCTATTTATAGCTATATCTAGGAAAACAAGATCCTAGAATCAAGCGTTACTTAAATGATAATAAAGGAGTCATTGATGAATATGTAACGAGAGGCGATGAATGCAAATATTCTCTGCAACGGCTGCCTATTTAATGTTCGAGAATATTCTTCAGTTAATGCTACCCGATGGAAAATATTCGATCTGCTCCCGTTGACCATACTCCCTCCGAGTTTACCCGATGTCAATTCCAGTTATTGTTCCCGGTATTAGCTGTTACTTGATTCGCCTTTACCTGTCTTCGATTCCACGTGTCATGCTATCATTTGAACATTTATTATAAATCAATTTTATCCTATACATTGACCATAATTTTTTATTTATTTCAAATATTTACCTATTCCACATTTACCATTTGAATTAGAAAATAAAAAATTATAAAACAAGAATAGGTAATTACATTTTATTTGGTTTTGAGAAAACAATATTACTCCATTCATTTCAATTTAAATGACACACCTTCCTTTTTAGTTCGTTCAAAAAAGAATGACATATTTCTACATTTGAAAATAATTTAACTTTAAATTTTTATTTTACCAACTTTACCTTTAATGAGAAGCTTTTATAGCCACACAAATATCATGGCCCCACAAAACTTTTGTCCCTTAAGCTTTTATAACCACAGGTTTCAAAAGTCTTCTTTTTTTCCCTTAAACTACATCATCTGAATTGAAATTGAAGGAGGATTAACTGACACAGAGCAGATATTTAGCAGCTAAATTGAAGTGAATAACCTCCATGTTGCGAGAATCTTTAAGGCTAAATATAACAATTGGGATTTGCAATGCTAAATATAGCAAGAAGTATTAACCCATATCATTGCCTTAATAACTTGTTTGAAGGGAATCTTACGGGAATATACCACAAAAGATACTATTTACCAACAATTAACCATTTTAGTTATGCTACCAAAAATAGCCAAAAAATTATCAATGATATACAACATTCAAAAAATAAAGGCAACAAAAGATTTTTTCAATCTGCATTGTTGTGATATGTGGAAAACACATAGGTGAGGTAATATACAAAATTTGATGGAGTTTGAAGGTGAGTTAAACTAGTTTGGAGTCAAACTTTAATATCAATGATATGCAATATTAAAAAAATTAAGCAAAAATAGATTTTTTTTCAATAGGTATGGTAGAAATTCGTTGATAACATATAGATGAGGCAATATATAAATTTTCAGCAAGAATGAATGTGATTTGGACTTGTTTGGTATCAAAATTGGTAGTTAAAATCGAGTTTAAAAAAAATTCTTTTGCGACACATGTATCAAACTTGTACCATGCATATATCTCACACACAAGTATACATGAATATACATGTGATACATATTTGATACACATATGATACATATGTGATACATCAATGATACACATTGTGATACACATATCATATTTTTCCATGTTCATCTTCTACTTCGAATTTTCAATTCAAACTGCCAAAAAACTCCACAAAATCATCCCAAAACTGAGATCCCAACTCTTTAAATATACCCAATCTATTCCAACAACACCCACTCAAAAGCAAATAAAAATTTGACCTTCTTTGGCTACAAATAGCTATTGGCTAATATTTGTAGCATTTGGCTAATATTAGTAATACTTTATGAATTGACCAATTTTTATAATAAATTGCTTATGAGCAGACATAACAGGTAATTTCCCTTGTTTGAATGGTTGTTACGTATCGTTTTCTGATATATCGTATTATATTATATTGTATTATTTTGATGAATATAATATATTTTAAACATGGAACAATCACACCAAATCAATTGTTATATACATGAGTCATGTTTTTTCATATTATTGAT